TCACTGTGATCAGTGGAGTTGTTCCCCTGATGTATCTGACCCATAAGAAGCCCTGGGAAGTGCTCTATCACCCTTTGCTGATCCCAGCACGCACCTGCAGGTCTCCCCCAGGCCACATAAACCCCGTTCCCCGGAGCGGTACGTCAGGCAGGACCCCCCGGGCTGGCCACCAGCAGCTGGGTGCGCAGGAGATGGGGGGAGGCAGAGCAGCTGTAACCTTGCCTTCCCACCGGATCAGGTAATATCAACAATCTCTAACCTGCTTAACCCCCAGAAAACCGTTGTCCTTTGCTATTGGCAACAGAACCTATACAGAGCTGGCGAGGAAACAGCAGGCCTGTAAGCGCCACGGATAAGGAATTGCAGCAACCCCTGGCATGAAGGTACTGTGATTATATCAAGCCAAAATGAGTCACCTCATGCTGCTGGAGTTGTGTGCTCTGAGGAAACTTTCTCTTTGACATAATCTTTCCTTAAAAGTCAGATCTTTCCTCTGGGAAAGGGGAAGTCGTGGCTTAGGCTGACCTACCTCACTTGTTTTTGGCTGGAGAAAGACATTTTTCCTTGGCTGCACAAACACCCTACGACTTTCACTCAGAACCTCCCTGAGAACATTTTTAAAAAACATTATTTATTTATTTCTAATCAGACAGCACGAATCCTGGTTCCAAAAGTTATTTTATTCTCCTAGCCTGGTAAAATGCCCGTCCTTTTATTCAGATACATCTTCCTCGCTGTAACAAATGATGCTGAAGGTTTCACAGGTCCTGGGGAGATGCTCAAGTCTCAGCCACATTCCCCCACTATCGTCTGACTGTAATTTATGTTACTGCAGAATTTGCCTTATTGAAACCATTTGTGGAATGGAAATTCGCACAGATTCATGCACAGAAGATGACTCTCTGCTTAGTGATGATGTATGAAGCAATCTCATTTAACATCCTTGAAGGCAGCGGGAATTTTGTGTGAGGAACTGCACCGCAAATCTTGAAGCAGAGAAATCTTGACTTAGCGATGCTCTGCGTATTCCCTAGACAAGCATATAGAAAAAAATCATTTTATTATGAATGACACAACTGAGCACACTGTAAACTTGCACTAATAGAAGATTTGCTTACTGCTTGGTTCACACACGTTTTGCACCTGGCCAGACATGCTGGTTAGGCGTGTGGCTTTTCACTTTAACGCTTTTCATGGGCTAATTGCTCAGCGTGGATACAGTTGTATACGTTACTATACTTGTCGCTTTTCTCCAACTGTCAGTCTAACTGCCTGCCTGCTGAATGCCCAAGATTTCAGACAAGCAGGAGCCAAATCTCGCCAAGACATTCTAATAATACAAGGATGTCTTATACCAGCATCACTTGATAGCCATACAGCAACTGTATGGATGTAACCATCACCAGAGTAAATGACTGTGGCCCAACTGTTGTGTGTAGATAAGATGTAGTTTAAGAGAAAATGGCAGTTAATTTTCTCTCTTTCTTGTAATAATAGTTTTAAAAATATCATACGTCATCAAATACCTAGCATTTAAAGTAACACAACTCAGAAATCTGCTTAGTAGTAAATTTTAAATTCCTATAATTACTTCACAAGCTGCTAAGAATGCTTTATACTAATAGTTGGAGCCATAAACCTGCCGAGAACTGCTTTGTTAAACAAGAAATTCTTCAGAAAGTCAAAACTGCTTCTCTTTTTTTTTTCCTTTTTTTTTTTTCTGAATGGGCCATTCAAAAGCGCGCTTGGTAAGACATGAACCGCTCTGTAGTGGGAGCGAGGAGCCTCCGTAACTGAGTGGACTAAAGTCTCTCTCGGCTTAGGTGTGCGCTGGGCTCCAAATGGGAGGGCAATGTGGATATGAAGTGGGCTAAAGCTGTCCTGCAGTTGTCCTGTGATGACACAGCCCTGCCAGGGACTACCAGAAAGAAGAATATCCAGAAAAGGTGAGGAATATATTCTTTCCAATGTTGCCAGCTAAAGAAGTTTTTCTTAATCCTGTAAAAAATGTAAAATCCTTTGCCTACTTTCCAAGACAGACTAGAAGTTGATGCATGTGAGGAATGGAAATGTGTGGCATGAAGAATTCCCTATTGAATGTGAGTATAGAGCATTGAAGCACAGAGCCCTGGCCTAGTCTGAGCTGTTACAACTCTAGCAGTTTGGTCGTGCAGATGGAAGAAGGTCTAACGTCAGCAAATCACCCACCCCGTGCCTCAGTTTCCCCAGCTGATAGTAGGGATAATCCAGTCCGGGCATTGCATGCAGTACTTTGGGAGGTTAAGGTGAAATGGTTGTGTGCAGGAGGCCTAAGTGTTTTAACATCAACGTTCATTTTTGTGGTCTTCAACCATGACAGCTGTTGAAGTTTGGTCCTGCAGAATTCTCACTGCTTTGGTATACAGTCCATGAACTGTAATGCACAGACCCTGTTTTCTCCCGGGTAAATGTCAAAGCTGTATATCTGCCCAAAGAAAGGCTGGTAAATGTTGTCTGAAGCAGCTATTAATCCTTAGAATTAGTTGCTCCAAGTATATGAAACAAACAACAAAAATGAAATTAAATTAGGGAGATTTATCGTGAACAGTTGTTGTTTCACACTGGTTTGGGTTTCAGCAAAAGCACAGACAAGTGAAATAACAGCACAAAGTCATAAATTAAGTAGGAATACTCTAAGACAAAATCTTGTTTATTCTGTGCAACCAGCCATGTCATTTGTCACCTTACAACACAGGAGTCAGGACATTGGTGGGAGCTCCTGGTTGTGCCTGAAAGGTGCTTTATCAAGGTGCAGATATTAATATTGCAACAAACAGGGGAGATTTGTTTTTAAAAGGAATTGGAGGCATCCTGTTGTGTCAGACAAAGTTCTCCGAGCAATAAAAAATAAAGCCACAGCTGAAGTCTTATGGTAGTGATATATTCCTTTCTGGGTGTACTGAAGATGTCTGAGTGTGCCTTTCACTAACTCCAGCACAAATCTGCTGATTTCAGATGACATTTGGATGAGATTTGGGTGGAGATGACAGTGACCTGTAGGTGCTGAGCTCTGCCTTCATCTGAAGGTAACGCTTCAGTCATTACGCAGTCACTTTCCGTAGCCGTAGACTGACCTGTGGACGTGAGTTGTCCACAGTTGTCCTTATTAAATGCAGAAGAGAAGACAGCCTGAGGGAAATGACCCGTTTAAAGGAAAACTGGGATAAATACTGCTTTAAATGGGTGACTACAGCTCTGGGAGAGAGGAGAACCAGCAGGATGGCGCAAAGCAGGTGACAGGGACCTGGAGCCATGCTTTCTGCTGAGACGGTCTTCTCAGCAGCCTAGTGGAGGGTGGTGAAGCCTCTGTGCCATGAAAGGCTCTCCAGCCCAAATGCATGCTCCCTGTCCCCGTCCATGCCTGAAAAAACTGTGCCATGGGGTCCCCCCAAATCCTGTCAGCCCCCCAAAACCCTGCTCAAGCCTTAGGGAGCGACTGTCATGTTATTGCAGGAGCAACCTATGGATCAAGCAGTGATGAAAATTATACAAACACAGAGCAATATACGGTCATTGCATCTCCGCAGAGATCACCTCTAGGGCACTTGCCATCAGAGCTCCTTTGGGAGTCCATAGACTCCACGCAGAGGCAAGGCAGCTTGCTCTGCCCCAGGAGGACCTCCTTATATTGCTGCAGCTGTGAGGGAGGTGACCCTCCCCAGTTTAACTCTTTGTTCTCTTTCCCCACCCTTCTTTCTCTACTTTCCTCCCATAACAGTAGTCCCTGGTCGGCTTTTCTTACCAACTAAATTCACTGGCATGAACCGAACAGGTTTTGTTGCTAAGAAGCTTTCTACAGCAGTAGAGATATGGACAGGACTGTCCCAAAGCACAGTTACTGCTAGAAACCCTGTAAACCCCTTATCTCTAAATAAATCAAATATATTCCATTAAATACAGAGATTTTTAAAACCCACACCTCACTTATTCTTCAGATTCCCATCACCATATTCTGGCAAGCTTGGAGATTAAATCCCTTGGCTACCACCTACGTGCAGCTATTGACACTTAGGCATGGATCAAAGTGACTTGCCACGGCTTTCAGGTGTAAGGAAGAATTGGAAGATTTTTTTTGTATTTGTCCACAGTGCCTAACACTCCTGTGCAGACCCATTTTACAGCAGTTATAAAATAAATTCAGTGCACCCAGCAAGCCTCCACTCTGCTCTGCCTAGGCTACAGAGCGGGTCTGCAGTCAGGGTAAACTGAAGGCAAGCAGGGCTTAGTGCTCGTATCTTGACTAGCTTTGTGGTTCCCTTTCTTCCTTCATTCCAGGTGGAGGCTGGACAAGCTGCTGGAGGAGAAATTCATGGAGGATTATAAAATAAACCACCCCCACATTTGGCTCAGGAAGCCCTGAACAACATTACTGAAGGCTGTGAAAGTATAAGCATGCATACATATACATATGTATATATGTATCTATACTCATGTATATGTAACAGTTGCCCTGTTCTCATACTTTTTATTTGGCACCTGCCTCTGTCCCCGTCCCAGGCAGGATGCTGGGATGCTTTCAGCCTGATTTCGTAAGTCCATTCTTGTCCTTCAGGCACTTGGGTGCCTGAATGTCCATGTAGGTGTCTAATACCCCACGTCCAGTCTCTCTGTCTCTCTCATTGTCAGGCACAACCTGACTCACATCCCCTTCCTCACTTTCCATTTGGTCATGTCATTTCTAAACCACCTTCCTTCCCTATTCCCCACCCATGCATATGGATTTATTTTTCCCCAATGGCCACGTCTTCCCCTTCTTTGAAATCATTTGCAGAAAGCTAACGTCAGCTTGGTTTAATTAAAGCCCCTGCATGTTTATCATGTCTTTAAATCATTTCCTTCAAGCAATCTTCATATGAAGTTATCGCTTTGTCAAAACGTGATCCAAACCCACGGCTCAGGGCACAGTGGGAAGCACACAAAGGGAGATCCGAGGAGCTTGGAAAGTTTGGGTGAGCTGTTTGCTAGAAGCTGCCGAGCCCACCCCTCCAAGACCTTTATTTCCCCCTGCGGCAGCTGTCATCTGATCCCACGCTTTGGCTTTGAATGGGGCTCTCTGAGGATGCCAGATGTTGGGAACAAAGGTCTAAAAATAATCTTTCCAAATAATCTTCCCATCTATCATTCAAGGAGAGCATGTGCTTTGTGTGAACATGTGAGCCGAGAACCTGATCTAACTTTGAGTAAAGAAGTTCAACAGCAGCTCCTTGCTTCTGCTTGTGGGCTCCTTTTTTTTTTTCCCCCTTTCCCTTCCCAGAAGCTGCGCAGCGAAAAGCAGCTCTCACCAGCGATCAGCCCTCGCTCTCCCTCCCTCCCCGTCTCCCTCCCTCCTTGCCAAGACTCTGAATCGTCTGGATCCTGAAAGCCAGGCTCCTTATTTCATCTCTCCTTGGGAAAATGGATTCCAGGGTGCTGTCAGAGATGCATTTCTGTAAGAAGATTTTCACTGCAGCCTTGTGTGTCTTAGTTTTGCTGCCAGATTCGGGCTGTGCAAGGAACCTCTGGAAGCGTGCTCTACATCTGAAAATGACGGAGAAATATGATGTGAGTAAACTGTGGTGGGGTGATTTTGGGGGAGCTGGGTATGCTCACTGTGAAAGGGGAGTTGTCTTTACGTGTGTGTATCATTTTAGAATAAGAAGCATTTGAATCCCCAGGCTGCCTCTTTATAAAAGGGTTGCATTAAGTTTCCCAGGCTGTACTAAACTTTTGCCACCTAGCTGCTGCAGTGGGAAACTTGTAAAGCACGCTTGGAACAGTGAGAAGACATGGGTACGGCAGCCGTCACTGCTTTTCCTGGAAACTTCATAGGGCAGCAAGCGAAGCGTGAACGGGGAGAAGGGGAATGCAAAACCTATGTGTCTGGGGATAGATTTAGTGAAGATAATGTTATTCATTGGTTAGAGCAGGGAGGAGGGTTCCCTGCCCAGTGCCTCCACTGCTTTTTGGGGTAACTTTGGGTAAATGTCTCCAACTCCTAGTGATAATGTGTACTAGAGGGATGGTGGCATTGCCCAGGGTTTTGTGAATCACTGGAGCACAGAGACCTCCAGCTCCACAGTGTCAGAGTAACGTGCCGATCGCACGTTAAGCCACCTTCTCATCCTTAAGCCATCACAAGTAAGAACAAACCAGGGAAGGGCAGAAGACTTGCTGTGCAAGAAAACAGCATGGAGCTGCAGAGGCTCCAGTGTCCCCTGCGTGCCCAGGGAGCGCTGGAGCACTTGCTGTGCCTGCCCAGTGTGTTAGAGGGGAAAAAGAGCCAGGCGGTTATTCACCAGTGGGGTACTGAGTGCAACCACTGTTTCCAGATCTGCGGTGGTACTTAGAGCAGTACTGGAATTGAAACTGAAGCAGCAACAAGTTATTGTGAGTGGAGAAAAGGATGGTGCTGGGTCTTGTTCTGGTGTGTCTGGGCCAAAAGGCTGTTAGAGATGGGCATGGAGGAAATTTAAAAAAAAAGGAAAATAGTTTGATAGCTTGACTTTCAGGACCTGCTGTTTAGAAAGAAAAAAAATTTGAATTTGAAGTTTTTACTTGCTCCATTAAAGTCCCCTTAGAAGCCAGCACTGACCCAAGGCTTCTGCCCCTTGAATCGCCTAGGTGGAAGCCCCAGCCAGTCTGTTTTCTCATGCTCGGGTTTGATTGCATCTTCCAGCCATTGCATGTGCATAAACAGCTCCTTGGTGTCACGGGGGGATTCCTCCACCTGTTTTCTGCAGCCACATATAAAAGCTTTTAATTTAAAATGGATGCTTCTTTGCCCATGTCCTCTAGAGTGATGTTTGGGGACAGCTAAATTTGGTTTGTGTGATTGCTGACTCAGAAATATGGTGCTCTTGTCTCCTTGAAATTTTCCAGAAAACATTGTGCTAATATTTGAATATTATTTGAAAGGCACTCCAGTATTTTACAATAAGAAATTTTCTTCATTGTAGCCTCCCTCGGGACAGGGTATCATCTGGTTTGCACTTTAATTGGAAAATGGTGACCTGAAGAGCTGTGTTTCCTGCAAAATCACTCACTGGAAAGTGTATTTATTAGTATGTTCTTCTGTCATATTTCAATGCAAAGCTCAAATTCAGTAGGAGCTATGAAGTAAATGACCCAGAGAGATAGGAGTCAGGAGTAGAACAAGAATTTACATGTTGATCTTCAGATAACGTGCTCTGTAGAGGCACAGAGCCCACTCCCCTGAGGATATATCCTCTTCTTTCAATCTGCAGTTCTTCAAAGGACTGTTTTTTCTGGCAGCCGTGAATCCAGGTGCTCCTGATCTGGCAAGCTCAGCTAGAATTGCTCATATTGACAGAAACATCTTATCTAGGGAAAACAGAAAATGCTTTTCTTTTTCCTTCCTCTCAAAGCCTTGGAAGGAGGAAGGCGTCCACTCTCCATCCTCATCCACCAAGAGTCTGTTTTGGCAGCCCCTCTTGTTTCTCAGAGAGATGCTTTCTTTTCTATCAAATGCTGCATGCTCCCTACAGTTTGAAAATCAGAGGCTGTGGGTGGAACAGCTGATTTGTGAGTCACTTGGATAGAGGGGTAACAGTTGGAGGTGCTCACGGCAACATGCAGCCGTACAGGAGATGGGCCATAGACATCCCTGTGGGACCCCCAGAAGGACACAGGCAAGGTCTGTAGAGGGAAGAGGCGGTGAGGGGTAGGGAGATGACTGAGAGTGATGTTTTCTGAGTCCAAAAAATCTGAGTCCACAGTAGGAGCAATGCATCCACCGAACTGCTGGCTGCAGAATGACGAGCAGGTGTTATGATGAGGAGCTGGCTTGAGGTCCGGCCAGGAGTCTTTCATTAAGGACTCTGGGGAAGGGTGCTGGTTGGCAAGGAGGGGTCAAGTGGGAATGGAGGAAGGAGAAAGAGGAGAGGGAATGCAGTGAGAAGAAAAAAATGGCAGTCAGTGGGATGGAGGAGCTGGGCTTCCAGCTTTTAGCAAATCCATGTATTTTACAGCCAGCGGGACGCTCGTCAAGTTTGCTGATGTGCAGCTGGTATTCTGCAGCCCCCACACAGGCTGTGGACTGTTCCCAAAGGGCAGAGGGAGGGAGCTACCTGGGGGTGCTCTTCAATTCCTTATCAAGACACCCACATGTCTGTTGGAAAAACCTGGGGCAGTCTTGATTTTATTCCAGTGTCAACTGTATCAAGCATTTTAGAAAAAAATCCAGCCTTCTTTTAAAGATTTCCAGAAATGAAGAATTCCTCGCAGCTGCTGTAATGTTCTTCCAACAATTTATTTACCCTCCAGCTAGCTGTCGTAAATCAACACTGAGATACCCTCTTCGTCTACCAGATTAGCACATCTCCCATGGGAGTTCTGTCCCGCGTTTGCCTCAGAGTAACGTATGAGCAGAGCAGCCTTCAGCCTCCCCTTTGGAACCTGCATGCGCACATACAAGCCTTGCACTGTAGTCTCTGCTTTCCAGTCGTCTAATCGCTATTGTGCATCTTCTTTGAGCCCACCCTAATTTTGCAATAATCTTCCAGTACTGCAGACACCAGAACCAAAACTACTAACCCAGAGTCAGTAGCAGGAGAATATTATTCCTATTGTTTTGGTCTTGTCCTTCAGATTATTTAACCCTCCTTCAGTCTGATATTTGCAACTTTGATCACTGATGATCTGGGTTTTTCCAGGTCTTTGACAGAAATATTGGAGGGCTCTAAATTCCTCCAGACTGTGTATTGTTTCAGAGGAAAGGTGGTTTATGCCCAGTGTTTGGAAATACCTGCCAGGGGCAGAACTGGTGACCGGAGGCTGGGCATAAACCTCACGCGTGATCTCGGGGGTGGCCATGCAGAATACGAATTAGCAGAGAATTGTGCTTTGACACAAGCCCAGGGTCTAGTTTCAGGCACAAAAAATAGAACAGATCTGGGATTTTTTGGAGGCAGGCGGCATCCCACAGTTACTGTAGAAAATATGGGTTGAAAGTGAGTGATTGCATTCAGGTTTTTCCTAGTCGTCTTTACTGACCTCCAGGGTTCCTCGGCTGAACTCTGAACTTTTCCCCTTACTTTGTTTCTGTATATCTCTAAGGCAGATACTGTCATTAAAATGATTTAATAAGTCTCCATGGGAAACAGCAATTTGCCTCCTGCATTGAAAAATATTCTTAAAAGAATTTTTGACTGTTGTCACAATCTGTAAAAATAATAAATCCGAGCTATGCTCAGAGCCGAACTGTGAATCCTGGGAGAGCTTTTAAAAAGGCCTTGTAACTCATACCTGGAGACATCCTTAACCAGGCTATTTTGGGAATGAGGGAATCCTGTTTCCCACTGGGAAGGTTTATGCATATATAAACCAGTGGCAATGGTTTTATTAGATCAAATGCACAAAAAATATTTTTTTGGCCATGAGGTTTTGAAAGAAAGGGGTTCAGAGCAATAGGTGAACAGAGAAAATGGGCAGGGAGGTCATGAAGTACAAAGTTATTTGGCTAAAAATGTTGTATTGTTCCCAAATGGAAATCTCATTCATTGAGCCAACTGTTCATTGCAATTTTGGCTTCTTGGTTTCTGAATCATCTGTGAAGCAACTGCAGTAATTGTTTGGGGTTTTGGTTTTTTTCTCATGTATCCATTATTTGCCAGTATTATTTTTCAGTCTGCAGCTGACATTTCAAATAATAGAATAGTAAACTGTGAGCTTCCCAGATGAATGCTCCCTCCAACAAGGAGACCTGTTAAATGTTTGGAACTGCATAGATTTACTATTAAATGCTCTCTTATATCCCAAAATTATACTTGGTCCAAGCATTTTCTCTATTTAAAATCCAACAGCAGCAAAAAAAGTTGAACTTGCAATATCTTCAATTTAAAAGCACATTATTTCAAAGCTGGATATTTATGGCCTCAAGTTGCACCAAGGGAGGTTTAGATCAGACGTGAGGAAAAATGTCTTTACTGAAAGAGTGGTTAAACGTTGGAACAGGCTGCCCAGGGAAGTGGTGGAGTCCCCATCCTTGGAGGTATTTAAAAGACGAGTAGATGAGGTGCTTAGGGACATGGTTTAGTGGGCATGGTGGTGTTGGGTCAACGGTTGGACTCGATGATCTTAGAGGTCTTTTCCAACCTCAATGATTCTATGATTCTATGATTCTATGGAGTGTTTTCAGCTTCTGAGGAATGGGATGATGCGATAGCTTACACCTTGTTTTACACTTTAACATTGAAAACATCATCAAAATTAGGAAATATTTTTTGTCAAGCCTATTTTGTGGTTCAAAGAGCCTATCAATTCATGGGTTAACAACCTCACGGAAGGGTTTTTGAGCAGTTTCTTGTTCACTGAATGGAAACAACTGAAGAAAAAGCAGAAGAAAATTGTTTATTGATATTGAGAACAGGGCAGGCTGATACTGGGAACAGGGAAGGATATTGTCGTTTGTGGAAATACTAGGAATTCTCTGTCTCTCACACACAGACACAAACACACACATTATTTAACCAGTTATAGATATAACCAGGATGTGGATTTTCTTTAACATACACCCTGTAACAGAAATTAAAACTTTTAATCATCCTACCTTTTCTCTAAACTTCTACATTGGCTGACACTCAATCTCTGTGCAACCAGGCAGCGGAGAAACTTTGCTGCTCTCCATTTCCCCCTAGCTATGGCTCAAAGAACGGAGATCAGCTTTGGTGTAAAAACCACCACCTTGTCGATACGATTCTACGCTATGTACAATATGGAAGTAAAATTTCTCACATCAGTACCACAAACAATGTGCATCGGTATTTCTTTTGGTGTCCCTTGGGATTGCCTTCATTCTCTACATTACAAATTATCCCAAGGGAGTGAAGATGATACTGTTTTCACCGTTACTGATAACTGATTGCTGCTCAATCACAGGTAGCAGCAGAGGCCGTGCGGGCCAGCGGTCAGTCCCCAGGGCAATGGACCTCCTGGGGCCTCTCCTTGGCCATTTTTTTGGACAGTACATGTGGGGACATGCTGTTTCGCAAAGGCACACATGCTCCACAGAAGCCATCGGGAGGTTTCAACAATGAGGATGTAGCAGCATGTAGGTAAAGAGGGATATTAGTCTCACCACAAATTTCTCCATAGCCTGATGGTGAAATTTCCTGGAGACCCCCTTGGGCACAGTTGCACCATGTTGTTTCTTGGAAGAACTCCCCAGTTGTTCATCACTGATTTCGTAACACAACAGTGATCGGGCCAAGTATACGTAGGACTCTTAAACTCAACAGCCTGCTAGCGAGTGCATGGCAGCACTCACTTCGTACCTCTGGCTAGATGCTGATCTCTTTTAAAAGTGCAAATCCAGAATCCATCTTTTGATTTGATTAGAGCTTATTAATGTTTGTTAATAAATCTGAGAACTGATTGCCCTTTCTGAGTACTTTATGCTGCTGTGGGGAGCTGAGCTCAAGCCCAGAGAGGAGTAGTTTAGCCATAGGTGAGAAAGGAGTGGGCTTGGGTGATTCACCTCTCTGTTGGAGGGACTTGGCTTGTTTCTAAAATGCCACCAGCATGAATAATATCTGAATGCTGCCTCTTATAAATGCTTTTGCTAAAATCCTGTGCCTGTTAATCCACTTTAAATCTCCCTTGTCCTTTCTGTGTGCAATGAGCAGCTGGCCTGCTTTCTGCTATAGTCAAGCACAGCCTCATTTTCTTTGGGATTAAACTGACATCACCCGCACAGATCTCAGATCATCTCATGTTTTAGAAATGGTCGTTAATTCAACAACCCAGGACCCCACAGTGGATAAGCTTGAAAAACTCCCCTGTAAGTTCTGGTCCAGAAGAAGGTGATGAAGGTAGAAGGAGCCTATTGAGGAGACAGGTGCTACCTGGGACATTAGTTCCAGGTCCCATTTGGGGACGTAACCTCAAAACAATACAGTGTCATCATTTCCACTGCTTTACTATCAAAGTGTTTCGGCATGCTTGTCATGAGGATGCCTGGAGTCTTTCTCTCTGTTTCCCAGACAAGTATAAAAGACTTTAAAGGATTTTTTTTTTTTACCTCCTCATTGTCATTACAACAACCTTAATTATAAAATGAGTTCCACACAATAATTTGGTGGTTTGGTGTTTCCAAAGCAGTGTGCTAAGGTGGTCATATAGCGCTCTCTTCAGTGTGCTGAAGACAGGGCTGGGGGAGCTGAACAGTTAATTCTCCTCTGTAATGAATACTTGAAAACCACTTTGAAAATCCCTCTTCTGTTTCGACTGATGGGATGTTTGGTATTCACCTTATGCCAAACCTTTGTTTCCTTTTCTTTTCTTTGCAAGGATTATGAGTACCCTCTTCATTCTCACAGTTCGCACTACCAGAAGAACGACCGCTGCCCCCCACCGCCCCAGACTTTGCCTGACCGAGCCTGCGAGGTGCCCAGCTGCCGGTCGGATTCAGAGTGTGAAAGGCACAAGCGCTGCTGCTATAACGGGTGCATCTATGCCTGCCTGGAATCTGTGCAGCCACCGCCAGGTAGAGTGGACCCAGCAATCAAATTATGGTAGAGAGAAGCATGCAGAAATCATGGTAGTCACCCCCATGTGCTTTGGGTCTCAGGTGGGAGGCACGGTTTGAGCGTGAGTTGAGGATAAAGCTTCGGTTCCACACTTCTGATTTCTGGGATGATTGCTGAATTAATAAATTATCCAAGGTCAGCTGGTGTGGCAAAATTTCCACCAGCACAAATGGTAGAAATCATTTGAGGCCAGTTCTTTTCCTGGGATTATATATTCAGGAAAAGAAGTAATCCCAATCTGAATTAGTGCTCACAGAAGCCAGGCAGCCATCTCATCTGATCCATGCCATGGGAATGGAGGATGGGAAACAACAGCTGCTTTGGCCCTTGCGACACCAGGTTCCTGGGGCCCTGGATAACATCCATGGCTCTCTTGCCACTGGGACAACAATAGCATGAATACAAGTATCTTGCTGAAAACTCAAATCCATCCTTCAGGAGACCGGCAGCCTCGTCACTGGCTGGTAGAGGAAGTCTGTGACTTTTCCATAACTGTGCCCCCTATGGCTACTCCACCTTGACTCTGTCATTTCTTGTTTCTGTCTTTTACAGTTTTAGACTGGTTGGTTGGGGGGGGGGGGGGGGGGGGGGGGGGGGGGGGGGGGGGGGCCTTCAGGAGACCGGCAGCCTCGTCACTGGCTGTTAGAGGAAGTCTGTGACTTTTCCATAACTGTGCCCCCTATGGCTACTCCACCTTGACTCTGTCATTTCTTGTTTCTGTCTTTTACAGTTTTAGACTGGTTGGTTCAGCCCAAACCCCGCTGGCTGGGAGGCAATGGGTGGCTTTTGGATGGCCCAGAGGAAGTCTTACAGGGTACAGTACATTTCACTGTCTTCTCTGTCAGATCGGTAATTATACCAAAGGCACTAAATAATATATTCATCATACACAGGGCCTGCCGGGGTTGTTGAGATGCTGGGGCTACAGGTATTTGTCTGGAGTGTCCGTAGGAATAACGCTGTGTTGTGCAGGGGGCTAGTTTCTGGTGCAGTAAATCAGTTGCTTTTTATGGATATGGCTTATCCAGCAGAGCGCTAGGAATACTGCAGGGAACTGGCTTTGTATCCATTCTTGAAATAAGTAGAAATATGTAATTTTTTAGAAAAAGGCTTTGTCAGCATACACAGATTTTCTGCCAGCTGCCTGATAGACTGTGGGCAGACTTGGATTAGGAGGTCTCTTAATCCGGAGTGGCCTCACTGCACAGATGCCTTAGGCTGGGGCTTTCAAGTCTGAAGGCTGCTTTGAACAAGAGCCCTGGCAAACTGCTGCAGAGTTGTGTCAAGCTGACGTGGAGCTGGGAGCATCTAAGCTTGGGGACTGCTAATGAGATTGGGCTTCTCAGGTTAATTCCATAGAGAAAGGTCCTTTAATTTATTTTTTCCAATACCTCAAAGTGAAACAAAGAGGGAGTGGGGAGGTGGGAAGAGAAGTTTTCTTCTACAAGACATCCCCAGGTGTATGTATGCCTGAAGTTCTTAATTTCTTCATGGAAAGGCTATTCCAGCTTTTGATCAGCTTTAGTCAGACACAGGTAGTGCCAATAAATTACCCTTTTTGGTCTTACGCAGATGCTATCAGACTCACCGAATTCTCATCTATTATGGAAACTCCTAGTTCTTCAAGAGAAAATTCTGCCTCCAGCTCATTGGAGTTGCACTGCTAGAAATAAGATAAAATAGGTTCCTCCTCATCCATTCCTGTCATGCTAATATTATTTGTTCTTATCTTAACACCTTCATCTCAGCTTGAGGGAGTAATTAGTGAAGTAAGAACCATCAGTCATGGCATGACAATTACAGCAGAGGTCCTTGATATTAAAATCCTGGCAAATGAAAGGGTGGAGTGTCCCTGCATAGTCTGTACATTTAATGGACACAACCACTGCCTGTAAGTCCTGCTTTACTTTCTTATTCTGCTCTGCACTTGTTGAAAATCCAGGGTCAAGGCGGTTAAAGTCTCCATTGGTAACAAGGGGTGGTACTGCCTTACTCCATAGTGAGTCACATCTGAGGTTTAAATTCATCGCTAAGGTAGTGGGTGTGGAGCAAAGAACAAAGCAGCAAGCTGCCAGCTTCCTGGTCATGTTTCCCGATTCCTCACCCACCCAGCCCGAAACACTGGCTGGAACAGACTTATGGCTGCTTGGAGGAAGAAGGCGCACGGAGGAACAACCCATCAGTGCGAGCATGGTGGTCAGTGGTGGTCTGTCTTCACTGTTCTCCAGCCCTCGCACAGAGCCTGCACAACAGGCTCTGGGGAGGGCGTCGTTACAGGTAATCGGGCTGACCTGCACTCCCCATATAGGGCTAGACACATAAGTTTTTGTGTAAGGTGTGAACTGGATCACCTGCTCTGGCAGGCTTCTTTGGAGGTGTTAGCTCCTTGGTACCCTTGCATGGGAAGTAGTCTGAGATCCTGTCTGGGAGGAGATACAGAAGAAGGTGGCCGTGTTGTCATATTTTGGTTACCTGTGGGTGTTAAAGCCGTGATTTATGACCTGCAGGCTTCTTTTGCAGCTGAGGCCTGCAGTACCACTGAGGATGGAGATGAGCCTCTGCATTGCCCCACAGGCTATGAATGCCATATCATCAACCCGGGTAACATGGCTGAAGGGATCCCTAACAGGGGCCAGTGCATCAAGCTCCGTGGAAATCCAGGTCAGTTGACCGCAAATCTCCCTTCCTTTCTTGTTCTGTCATGCAAACACCAGTAAGGGACGATGCGCTCTCACTGGCTTTGGTGGAGATCTGCTGGTACGTCTGCTCTCATGGGCTTCCTAGGTTTTCTGGGCAGCCCAAGGCCCCAAGGCAGTGTGTGACAGCTGGGCTGGGAGACAGTCCCCCCTCTGCAGCAATCTCAGGTCTCTAATGCCCTTGATGTTGGCTGAGCTATGTGAAATACCCAAAGCAGGGGACACAGTTCTTGTTTGCTCTGTATGCCAGTGTCCTCTGGGATTGTGTAAGCAGAGCAGGTAGTAACCTGCATGTGCCATTATTACGCAGCACAAAAAAATAGAAATGTTTATATATTACTACACACTTAGCTAAGAAATATGAGTTTCAAATCCCAGTTTTGACTTATGACTTTGCTTTCTGCATCCAAAACATTGTTTCCTTTATTCTGCCGACACATTTGCTCAATAAAGGAACTTACAGAGGCCAAGCTATTTTCCAGGAAAGCTCGTAACATGTCTAGGTATGTGTAACTTCATTGAATAGTAGGATATGTATGTCTGCACTGGGCTACAAATCATCTCAGTGTAGAGACATGAGACATCAGTTTTGCCATTTCATCACTGTAAAAGCCAGGGGAAGCATCAAACCAGATCCCTGAACTGCTTCCATAAAAGACTAAGATTTTTTCCAGGGCTTTTTGATCATCTCTTTTATTCTTTTATAACTTTTTCTTTAATAACATCCGTAGTAACTAAGGTAATGTATAGCTGTTTGGTTCTTAGACACGAGGTATTTCTAAGAGCTTAAATAATTATATAAATGGTAAACAGAAAAACCTAGCTGAAACTTGAATTATATAAAACACTAATAGGTGGTCTGAAACTTTACCCAAATTTTCTTTTGAGAAAGTCTGTGATTCCTTGACTCACAGCTACTGAAAAGAACATAACATGCTAGTGGCCAGCAGTTAACCACTCTCAGGGAAAGTGAGTTTTGTCCACGTAGTTCAATAATCTAAACAGTTTTATAAGAGGTTTATAGCAGCCTACACTACTTCAGCTACACAGATCTTTTATTTTCCTGTTTGTGAGGTCATTATTTCCATATGTATAACTTCTCTGTGCTGTACACAGAAGGTTGGAGTTTAACACAAAGAATGAAGGCTGACGAGATATGTTCTCATTACGTACCTTCTTTTTCAGATGGACGCAACCTGAGGCATAAATATTACAAGGAATATTTTGGTAAGCCACTGGCATTAAGTGTTTGCTATTATTAAGCTTTATAGTTATTGCATTGCTTACAAGGAATTTGCTGCTTATGAAATGAAGGTTTGTAGATAGCAAAAAGAGATTCTTTAGCCTCAACTCTCTACGCCTTGGTCAAAAGATCTTATTTTAAGTTCTGCAATGCCCTGACTGTGGACTCTTGAGAATCAGTATCTCCAGTTGTGACACAATGTGCTAAATGATGCAGCCTTCTGCCAGGGTTTCCCACCCAAGGGGTGAGAAACACCCAATCCAATAACCTTTTGTTATTTTTAGGTATATTTTTGGAGCTTTGCTCATGGCCCAGGGCTCCTTGCAGATGGACATAGAACTCTGTCAAAAGCAGGGTCTTTTGCCAAGAGCTTGTATTGTGGTATGTGATAAGAGATGATTGGAGCCCAGTGAATGAGTCCCTTGTTGTTATCTGCAACCACAGGAGGTGTCAGGTCCCTTGCACAAGTTGACAGATATTCTTGTTGTTATCTGCAACCACAGGAGGTGTAAGGTCCCTTGCACAAATTGATAGATATGTGTCTCAAAGAAAGCAGGAGGATCTTCCAGAAGATCTCTTTTCTCATGGCTTCAAAGCTCCTGGTTTCTGCTAACTCTTAGATCTAGAGGGGGACAGTCAGATCAGATTGGAAGTGATATTCAGATATAACTAGACAACATCTTTGATATGATAAGATTTACGAACAGCCAAATTTGGCCAGTATAGCTGATAAAACTATGAAAGGATTTCCTTTCCTCTGTCCAGCGAGCTATCGCAGCTCCCTCAGAGAACTGCTAAATAATGAGACCGGTAAAACTGTACTGTGTAGAGAATCTTGAGAAAACATTTGCCAAAGACTAACTTAAAATCTAACTTGCTGATATTTGTTTTACAGGGAGCAATTCCAACAATGTGGTCGGCTATGTGAAAAACCAGCAGAAGCATTTAGGCTAATCAAAGGTGTGCCTGGGTAAGTGTCCTGTGAATAAAGGGAAAGCTGGGTGAAAATAGTCGGTGCTTAGTATGCAATTATTTAAAGAAATGGTTGTTGGAGGGTGAAATTACCTCTCATCAAAACGTCAGTGTAAGGACAGCACCTTAAAACTATGTACAGGTGCATACCGCAGGCTCCATGAAACACCTATGCCGACAAATAGATGGTGCTGTAAAAGCATCCTGAGAACCTGTGGCACTGGAGATTGAGCTCTGCAAACGGTCCATGGAGAATTCAATCTTTCCCAACGCTTACTTTCCCCCTCCCACTTTTTATTCTAATTTCACAAGATGCACCTGATTTCTTTGAAGAACCTTTGCCTCGTGGGCGTTTAGAGGATGGAGTGATTTTCAGGATGAATAATAAATGCTGCAAAACTTTGTGTGCCTTAAGACACTAAACTTTATGTTTAGGGGCTTCTTCTAATGCAGGTATAACTGCTCCTGCAAGACAAATTAAAAAGCTCTTTATTCTGGACTGATTGCAGTAAGGGTCAGTCTTGGAAATACTTAGGCATATGGGTGATTTTGTGGGGTAACTTTATGTGTGTGAACAGTTGCACTGAACAGTGTGACCCACTCATGTGAGTAAACGTGCTTGTATCTGGCCAGAGCGAAGCCAACTGAAAAAGCTCCAATCATTTTATCAGGCTTTGAATTAGGCAAGAATGACAATATTTATTATACCAAAGGTTCTGTCCCAGGATGGTTTTCTCAACACTTTCAGCTTCACTTTAAAACTAACTTGAGTTTAACCGGCAGTTATGCAAACAAAGCAGTTCAGTGTGTCTTTTATGTACCTACGTCAGGCTGACTGTTAAGATTACACAGCTACGTAAGGACAAGTTCTGTGCAAACTTCCCAGGAAGGATAAATATTTTAATTCCTTTTTTTTTTGTTTGACTTTCACCCAGCTGGACCACTCTGTTAAGCAGCTGTCAAGGAATGCTTTACCCATCAGTTTTCTGTTTTGGAAGAATTCTGGTCCCAAACCTCCACGAGCACGTCTCCAGCATTACCCTGATCCCTGCCCACCAGTGATAAAAAGTCTTCGCTGTTCAAGGAACAGGATGAGTCTAGATTTTAAGCCTATCAGCAGGGGGAGAAATGCGATCCCCTGAAAGAACCACGCCGTTTATCAGCTGCCCTTCTACCAATGAATTGTAAATACCTCTGAGCGGATCCCTATAAGCCACAGCGCCATTATCAGGCTGCTGGAACAGAGCCTGCCCTTTATGTGCATGTTATGTGACCGATCCGGATTTCATGACCATGAACATAACTCAGTATTATACAAATGAAGCGACGTCAGAATTGTACCTAAATATCATATCTAAGTTACATTAAAATAGGCAAGAGTGTAAGAGGCTCTCTGGATCAAATCCAGTGCCTGCCTATCTCAAACAACTACTTTAAATAAGCCTTTTCATAAGTTTAAAGTTTGAAGAAACCTGCAGGTTTCTTCTTTTCCTATTTATACCTAGGGTTCACCAGGTTTGACACCCCATCTACAAGCCTAAACCTGAAATCTTAAGAATTTGAGGAACTCTGAGCTAGGAGCAAAACAGGTTCTATAAATTTTTTTTTAAAGTTACTTTCCTTTAGCTTCTCAGTCTGGTGAGCTGCAGATCGAGAGCAAATGATGGAATAGATTTCTTTCTACAATATCTAAGCAGACACACGTGCGTGCCAGTCTTTTTAAGTTGTTGTTTTTAGCCAGCACATTTAATACTCACAAAATGTAAATCTGCATTTTTGTACCTGCAAAACCTCAGCAAGAGGGCTGGAGTCTGGATTATTTGTTGCACATATTAGAAAAGAAAAATCAGGATAAATTTGTGTGATTAAAAGGATTATCTGGCAGATGGGCAACTGCTTTTTAGAAGTCCTGTACCTTTATGTTGACTGTCATAAATCCTTACGGTCAAGTTATTTGTATTTGGACCTTACAGCTTCTTTTGGCTGTTTAGCGTTATAAAATGGAAAACACATTTTCTATGAATGTTTTTCTTTTCTGTGGCAGTCCTAAAGGGACAGTTGCATTTCATTTTAACAAATCTGCCAGAATTGCTAGGCAAAAGAAGCCATGTTTGCTCCCTTGTTTAGTACGTGTCCCCATCTGCATGCATAAAATTAGCATTTTAATATGCAGAGTAGTAGCGGTGTATATAAATACCCAATTCACAAATACAAGTGCCTGCTTCCACCCACAAACTATGGGATTTTTTTCCACTCACCAAATGTTTTAAGCCAAAGCTAAGACGCCTATAAAACACTTGATCCTTTGCATACGACGTTTGCAGCTGGAGAGATGAAAGATGCCAAACTGCTCTTCTGTTTCCTATCATAAACAGGCACACTGCTCGGTGCTTTACAGAGCAAAGGAACAGATGAAGGGCTCCACATTTTCCTAAATATCTTCATTTGTTGAACTCCGTTCACTTCTTTGTGCCTTTGTTCCAAGTTCTAGGTATTAAATGCAACACCATATTCGGACAGATCTATTTCTAGAATTTTATCATACGCAACTTCATACAATGATGTCTTCTTAACTCCTGCTGGATGGACAGGAGTCCGTCCGTGTTTTCTAGTTCCAATCTCAGTTTAGGCCAGAAACTTGCCGCTTTGCCGCTGACACAACTTGACAACTTAAAGCAACACAGCTCATAATGAAAGTCTTGCTCCTGGGTGCTGCTCAGTGAAATGGGTTGATTTTTTTCAGCATTACTTTTTGCAGAAAAATCAAACTCTGATTAAATGAGCAAAGCCCTTCAATGGTTACTGCTAAGCCCCAAAGAGTGAATGCCAAATTGTTCTATTTTTAAATAAAAAATTCAGTGCCTAAAACCAGCAGAGGATCCAGTTGAAAAAAATGTCTTGAGCATTAACAAATTTGCAAGATTAAAACTTCAGATCTCAAGCTAATCTTGCAAAGGATCCAAAAATATGCTTAATTTGAGTGGACACATTCACTTCAGTGGCTGCTTTTTTGTAGCTACAAAAGCACATACCTGACCACCTTGCTGGATGGGATGGTAAAGATATTTTCTACTTGCAAAAGGAATTTTTAAAAAAGAATATTGACAAATTAATAATTTGTTGATGAATTTGTTTACTGGGTGTTATCAAAGACATCACCCTTCCTCATGGTGCTATAATGCTTGGGGTTTTTTTCAAGTTAATTCTTTTCAAGTTATCGATTGTCAAACTCAGAAACAAAAGCCACAGAAGAGACTTGTCTAAATGCTGTGTTTTCAACACTGACATCCATCACATGTTGAACCGAAAACACAGACCAAATGAGTTGTCCTCAGCTTGTCTTCTCTCCAAAGACAAATGGCTTAACAACAATCTTGTGAAGCACAGTAGGAAATCACTAATGTAGGTTGTTTTTAATGTTCCCATGTACACTTTAAAGCATGTTTGGTGCTATAATAAACTTTACATGTATCACTGTGTGCTAGCAATGCTCACGGCCTTGCAGATCCTCGAGCGCTGCCGGCGCTGCCAGTGGAGCTGCTCTGCCTTGCAGCAGCCGAGGATCTGCAGCAGCCCCAGGCAGACCCTTCCTGGTTTGTGCCCCTGGTGCTTAGACATGTACGGGTTCTGCTACTTCGGTGCTCAATAAAAAGTGACCAGTATATTTTTCAACTCTGCCTAGTTTCCGTTGTGTGTTCTTGACATGCGCTTGGCTTCGAATTATGAAAAAAAGGACAAATCTTTTCAATTTTAGTTGGTGGAAGAGCCAGAAAACATGGGCACAGGGAGGCAAAAGTCATTTTGTCCACTGGAAGGGAGGTGATAGACCCCCAAAACACATCTACCACCAGTGTCCCCTTTCAGAGGGGCCACCTTTGTGGGTCAGACGCTCACTCAGTTCTTGGCGCCTTCACTTCTATTGCCCAAAGAGGAGCTGATGGACAGTACTGTAAAGAGGATAGTGATGGTGACCCAAGTAGAAGGTGACCCTTTTATTTGACCAGGCATTTTCCTTCTTGATTCAGAGCTGTTGTTTGTTGCCGGATGGGTTTCAGCTGCCAGCTCAGGCGGTTTGCGCTGCACAAACAGCTGCTCAGACAGCTTTGCAGGAGGCCAAGGCTTGCTCGAAGGGTGGAAAAGTAAACCAAGTCAGAGACCAGCGTTGGGCTGGTGCCCACTGCAGGATACCGGAGCTGAAAGAGGAGCCTGGCGCTGAGAGGTTGGGCTGCTGAGCCCTGCGTTTCCAGGAGCAGGCAAGACTTCACCATCCCACGAGCTCCACCCACACCAGTCTTGCTCTACCTGCTCCTCAGGAGCAGGCAGGCGTCCTTCTGCATTGCTTCCCTTCTGCCCTGAAACCATAACAGGAGTCACAGAGAGAGAAACTGCCTGTAATTTGGCCAAGGAGGGAATAGCAGTGGGTTTCATTGCTTTGGAAATGTTTTCTGTGAGTTTTGAGAAGATGCCAGCTAGCACTAGGTGTCAGGGTAGCTCTTCAGTCTGGCAGTGAAGTCATCCTTGGGATCACTTGAACTTCTCATGGCAATGGTCATATGGCCTGTTTGGATGGGGAGATTACGGGATGTGCGTAACAACTTGGGCCTCCTGCTGTGAAGTGTGAGGTGGACTAAGTACCTTGGCTTTCAAGAGAAGGATCTATTTGATGAACACCACAAAATTATGTTTTGATTTCAACTTGTTTCCATGTTAATGCAAGCAAATATAGTTTCTGTTGATGTAGCTGGCTAAGGCTAACGGTCATTGTGGAAAAAACTTTGTGTGACCTAAGGCATCATCTGCAGATGACACTGAAGTACTATCGGTGCATCCATGAACCCAACAGCTGGGATCAACAGAAGGACAAACATTATAATAGATCTTCAAGAAGTCAGGGGTCTGCATTGAAACCACAGCGTGCATCTCTAGGTCAGCAATCTGCAGAAGTTGTAAATATGAGAATAATAAAAAAAAATCGCTGTAATTTTAACATGCCTAGTTCAGAGCTCCATTAAGCTTTATGGTGCAGAAGTGTTCTGGTTACCTTCAGGAAGCTGTTCCATAGTTTCATGAGCAGTGAAGAAGCCTACAAGGTTGAGACAACCCATAGCAGAGTCTTTGGAGACTGACAGTTTCTCTTTGCCCACTACATAGCAGGGATTTGTTCATATAGGGGGTTGTTCACTTCTCCCACCTCACACCGTCTACGTAGGCTAGAATTTTTCTCTGGAGGTGGTGTCAGGTGAGCATCAATTGTCTGTCTATGGCAAAAGGATTTACAGCATCATTTAGCGTCACTTAAATAAAGAAGACATCTTTTGCTGGTGAGTCTACAGAGGTAAGTCCTATTTCTTCCCATTATTTTCTCCTTCTTGTTACCTTTCTATGTAGACAAGGTAGCAAGAACCACGGGAGAAGCTGTGCAAAACAAAAAAGACCTTTTGCCAGTTTCCAAGACGGAGATGTAGATGGTGGGGCTCATTCCCCCCAGCCTGAGCCGCCCCACCAGACGAGTCTCCCAATTTAAGCAGCGGAGGCTGTGCAAACAGAAACCAGGAGATGTAATTAAATTCCCCCTTCCTTCCTGGTGACACACCTACGGACAGACCTAAGGATTTTACCCAGCCTCTATCAGTAGCATTGACAAGACGGAAAGGAACCGTGGCCCAAAACTTTGTTCTTTGCTTTTGTAACCAGGAGCAGCGGATGTTCTGCCCAGGGGCCTGGGAAAAACCCGGCCTGAAAGCAGAGTCTTTGGATTTTGGGGTAGCAGCAAACTCAGTAAATTCTGCCCATGCACCAGAGGTTTTTTACCTCAAGGTGGCACAAGAGGAACAGAAGTGTGACGAGCCCTGGTCATGGCGAGGGAAGCAGGTGAAGGAGCTGTGAGTTTTGAACTGAAAGCAGCACCCTGCCCTCACAGCGGCAACCTTTTGGGCTCACGTAATCTCAGATTACAGCTGCTTTGCTGTATGCATATTCATAACAGATACTTTCTATTTAAAAAAAGGTTTCCCAAATAACCTACTTAGAACTGGAGTCCGACCCTGAGCTTTATTATCCAATTAAATAGGAAATACTATAAACGTACTGTAATTGGGCTGTGTGTTGTATTCTTATAGTGTGAAAATTATGTCTTATACCAGAATGAAGAAATACAACTTGTATTAGTGTTGTTTTCTTTATATTATAGTCTTGATGCAGTTTATTCCCAGCATTTTCTGAGCCGTGAGATAGCAAAATACATTATTTTCCATTAGAATTCCTAACAGGCAGAAATCAAAAGCAGCAAGAAAATGAAACTTCAGTCTGTTCAGCAATTTTGCAGAATGTGTGGTGAATAGTCAGCAACAACTACATTTTCTTTCTGCATTTATTCAATTTCATTGGTGCTAAAATGTAATTTCACGTTACAGAACTGAATGAACATAAAGATGACAGGCAGGGCCATGGTCCTGAGCCCAAACAATGCTGTTTCTCTCGAACTGCAGGTCTGCTGGATAATAAACCAAAACACACCGATTATTATGGTGCATTATTATGCTCATCAACTCATATTTCTCCTTTTCTATGTCCTGTTTGTCTCGGTATTTTTGTCGTACCCCTCACCGTATCATTGCCCCCCCAGTCGAGGCTGGGAGAGGAGGAATGTGACCGCAGTGCCGGAGCACAGCGGGTGCCTCCATGCCAACCCAGGATGTGGCGTCTTGGCCCGTGTCCACATTGCACAGATTCTGGATTTTGTTCTTCTCCGGGTTGTGCACACAGCACTGAGCTACATGTGTTTCCACAAGCAGCAGCTTTTTGCCAAGAGGACGAAGTTAAATAAGGAGACTCTCAGCGAGAGCCTGTTGCTCAATTAGCCGTATTGTCAGCAGCGCTTGGCTAACGAGAGCCGCGCTCGGGACTGCGCAGTCCACGTACACGTTGCACACAGCAGAGCCCCAGAAGGACGCCCGGGCTCCTCACGGGTGCCAGCTCCCCTTGCCGTATGCCGGTTGCAGTGATGATGGGTGAGTTTTCAGGATGAGAAAAGCAAGAACAAAACCAGGGAAATCTTTTTCCTACCTGCCTAGAGAGCGGGAAGATGTTTTTCACCACTTTTCTATCAGAGACATGAGGAACGACTCAATATCCCAATATGATCCCAAGGCTCTGACTACTACAAACACACTCAGATGAACAGAAGAATGTATTTCCTTGCCAGGCAGTGCCTGCTTTGCCTTATCAGGACCACGGCAGAGCCAGCTGGCTGTGCTCCAGATCCTTAAAAAAGCTACAGAAGGAGGGGACCAGTTCAAAAGCATATGTGAGCTCAGAGATGTTTTGCCACCTAATTCCTATGCATTTCGATAAGGTCTAAATCTCTATATACCTCTGGGAGCCTGGGCTGCCTTCGAGCCCTGGCAAAGCACCTTACTTAAGCCCTGGGCAGGGCCTGGATGTGAGCTGCCTGAAAATCAGTGCCCAGCATTATCCCTGGATATTTTCCCATGGGAAGGAGGGCTGTCGCAGCGATGCAGGAACTTCCTCCATCTGCCTGACGCATCCAGTTCGGGTCATTAAGAAAGCATTTCTCAATCAGGAGCCAAGGGATTTAGGAAGCCCCAGCTGTGTTTTACAAGAACCTGTCTATTTGCAGGGTGTTTCCCAATCGCTCCACTTTCCCCTCGGTCTTTGGAAAGAAGCCCTCCCACCAGACCACTTCAGTGGGACACAGCTTGGGACAATGTGTATTATCCGTAGCTGCTAGCAGCGTCATGCTGGTGGGGTGTCCCATGGGGCTCACCAGCTTTCGCTAGACTGGTGGGACCTGGGAGGTGAAGATAGGCAACACTGAAATGCTCCATGGGGAAAACACTAGTTTGATGGAAGTTGGCCACGTTTTGGGTACTGTGGGCTGTCACACAGGTAAGGGTCTGGGGTTTTGGTCCCATCATGGCCCAGGTGTCACCACCTCTGCTGCCCCAGAGGTAGGAAGGAGGCACCTGGATGTCCTAGGAGAAAACTATTCTTCTGCAGAAAACACATGTTTTTCTCTGACTGGGAATGATATTTATTCCCTCAGTGCAGTTTCTACTGTCAAAGGAGGGTCTTAATCTCATAGTTTACACCTTAGAGACAATTTAAGCCTAAGTGAATCCTGTAGTCATGATGCCTGGGGGAGGATGTAGGTGTCCTGGTGCAAACCAGAGCACGATGCTCCCTGACAGGCAGCTATGAATCTTCAGAAAGGATGTAACTGGTTAACTTCAGCCATATGTTGAGAACCACCATGAAAGCGCTCCCCTCTACCGAGTGAAAGTGTTGTTTCTTAATGAATGAGCATCACATATTCACACATCACGCATTTATGCCCTCTCTCCGATGTAAATACTTATAAATACCGGCGTTATGCTGACTGGAGTGTTTCTCAAGGAGGATTTCCCCAGCCTGGAAGTTTACAAACAGGCTCGGCAGTGTGTGTAACCCGTCTTGCCTCTGCACGCAGCGGCCTTGGCAAAACAACCTCCCTATCTGCCTGCCCAAGATGTAGCACCTGCCGACACTCCTCCCGCAACAATTTTTCAGAGGGCGGAGGAGAACATAGAGCTGCAAGACCTCAACCTGCTCTTCGGGTGCCAGCCGTGCACACACGTAGGGCCACCTCACTCCTGTATCAGCCACGGTCTTAAACACAG